ATCTATATCATCATATCATAATCATACTTATTGATAATCAATCTATATTTCATTCATCATCAAATCATTAACCATACGAACCATATACTCTAAATACATCAGTTTACCCATATCGTCCATTAACTAATTATATCAAAATATCAATTAAGCATAGTATGATTAAAATCTCGTCTTCATCTATTAATAACTTGAATCATTCTAAAAAGGACCATACCCAATATATAATTCTCATGATTATCAAAGGTTCATTTGAAAATGTCTCCCTTAATAACACATCTCTCAATAAGTATTTCTTAAAGTACAATCTAAATCATAGTTCGTTATAATTCATTAATAAGTCTACCTTCAGTATTTTAATTAAATACTCAATTAACCATATCTCAAAATTTATCTTAAAACATAAATTTAATTTAGACCAAGATAAAATATCTCATGGTAATCACTTTGAACTCACACTCTAGTTTAAATGATTTTCTCTTAATCACCACTATTCTGAAAATCATAATGCGTTCTCTTTAATAACAAAAACCACGTAGAAACCAGTTTCATTCATCCAAAAATCCAACTAAGTTCATAAATTCTTTATTTTAATTATACTAACCAGAATTCACTTCTCATATACTCATCCAATTTATTAATTCCCAATTTCATCCTTTTAACATCATAACATCAATTAATTCTGAAAACTCAATTATTACCAATATAATCATTATCATGGTAAGATCTCATGACTAAAAACCATCCCAAATTCCTTAAATATCCTTTCCTCATCCTCATCTCTAGTTAACATTTTAAGCAAATACTTTGTATTCAATACATACGCCAACAATTCGAATACGCGATTATTAATAATAATTATCATAATACTCAGTTAAATTCATCAACAAATTTCATCCAATACCATAATCGAGTAGGAATCACAAATCCATCATAATAATCCATCATCAATTCAATCATGCGCATTTAACGATAAACACGTAATTTCGGTTCCCTTTTACCATAAGCCCACACACCTTATTTATGAGGAAACTGATTCTGTGATGATTCTTTAAATTCTAAATCTCACTTCTATAATATTCTTCTCATCCTCAAGATCCTGTAAGCGAAGACGGTTCATCATTTGGACGTCAAACGAACGTATTATGGACAAAAAACTAATTCTGTCAAAACACAAAGTTTCAGGTACTAAACCTAACATTTTCCAGTCAACAAAATCCAGTTGACCTAGACCTCCTAGAAAAATTACGCATAGGTCCTTTACGTTTTTGAATACCTAGATATGATACCTGAGCTTTGTAAAACGACAGTTTTACGTGCCAGTCTTTCCTAACTCGTATCTCCCTCATTTGAACTTCGAATTCGAATCCGTCGACGCTGGGATGCTTCTGTGATCGGGCTCTTTGCAAAAGTATCCACCTTTTGAAGTTTAGTTAAATTCTACAACGTCGGGTCCGTCAACTTTTGGTCACCATTTATAGTACATGACCTTGCTCTCCCACGTTCGCCAATAATGGCGGAGAAGAGGACTCAACCCGCCACTCTGTCCCTCTCTATCGACAGCGCTCGTATGCACCTGTGACTTCTTATTATTCTTGTGTGTGGTGATGGTGAGAAGGATTGGTGTTTGTCGAGGGAGGAGAGGAAAGAAGAGGGCGGCAGCTCCCTCTCTATCTTGGGTGTGTCATGATTCGATCGCCAAATACAGAAGGGAACCTTGACGAAGGCAGGGGCGCGTTAGGGATTCCCCCCGTCCCCCCCCCCCCCCCCCCCGATGAATACACGTTAGGGTTTTGGGACCGGGCCTGGATGTTCCGTACTTCTCTCAGGCTAGGCGCCTCGACCAGCTTGTCAGCCTTCTGACAAATGATAGGTGTCCGGCGTGGGGACCATGGACAATCCGTACTTCCTTGAAATCTTTCGAGTTTCATCTCCAGGCCCCCTTCATCGGACCTGGCCTCAGCTCGGTGGGTTTACCAATGGGCTTGCCTCATGATGAAGCCTTCTTCTTCCTCATTGGGTCGTATTGGCACTTGTTTTGGGCCTCTTACATTATATATCCCCCAACATTCTCCTTGTTCTTTAGTGGACCATCCTTCTCCTTGTTCTTCAGTGGACGATCCTTCTTCTTGTTCTTCAACGGATCATCCTTCTTCTTGTCCTTCAATGAATTTAATAAAACAAGAATGACAAAGCAATGCTTATCATCCTTACATTGTGTAAAGAAGTCCAGCTGATTCTCGGTCAAACTAAAAGAAAGTTTCAGTTTGATGGAGGACTTGCACTCGAAAAAAATTTCCTTCCCAGTAACTGGGTGTTTGGCCTTCGTGTCGCATGCAGCGAAATCGGGGCGCCTTAACATAGTTGTTCAAGTTAATCTCTTGACACCAAATTCCTAGACAACCTCAAGTTAATATCTGCCAAATTCCAAATCTCTTGACACCAAATTCCCAGCTCTGTTCGATCTTCTTCTCCTTCACACAACTTTCGAATAAGCACCTGGCAGTCCGATTCCACGATCATGAGACTCAGCTCTCTTCTGTTAGCCTCCCTTAACCCCATCAACATCGCTTTCGCCTCAACCTCGATTGGTCTGCACTTTCCCCTTTCTTTCATCGTTGTGGCTCTTCTGAAAGCTCCCCCCCCCCCCCCCAAGTCACGAAGAATAGCACCCATACAAATTCCAGATTGGTGTAAAATTCCTGCATCGGAGTTGAGCTTGAAGAATCCTTCAGGTGGCGACGCCCAGTGGCGGACCCAGAATTGTCGGAGAGGTGTGTCGCCGATATAATAAGATAATAAATAAAAAGTATTTATAAAATTAGTTAAAATTAATAAAAAATAAATAGAAACTCATTCATAAAGTTCACAATTTCATGTTTACAACGAACCACGACGACTTTTCATATCCTGAAATGTCAGTAAATACATTAATCGCTTATGTTGCGAAGAAAATCCTTTTCGGTATACATAACTAAACAATCATTCATAAATTGGTCACTCAACCAATTTTGAAGTTCATTATTGATTATCTTCATAGATGAAAATGCTCTTTCGCAGCTTGCAATTGCAATAGTTTAAGTCAACACCAACTTCAAGAGCAAGTAAAACTAAAGGATAAAAAAAGGGGATGCGGCAGTGGGTCTCGGTAATTAGAAACTAAAATGGGGTAAGGGTGAGTTTTTAATTTATTTTTTATTTTCAATAAAGGAATGGTCAAGGAGTGGAAACATTGAGTTTCAAAGGATAGGGTTATGTTTATTTTTTTCATTGTTGGGTTGTGGTGTGGGTTACTATAAAACAAATATACTTATTATTGTTTATTATTAATTAAGATAAATAAATTTTTAACAAGAAAATCATTCTCGTATAATGAAGGTGTGTCGCTCACAATTATTTAAGGTGTGTCGGAAGTTCGGAATTAAAAAATTTTGTACAAAAATATATAGATCCTTCACAAAATTTCCAGGCGAGGGTGTGTCGGGCGACACACCCTAGCTTTTACTAGGTCCGCCCCTGGCGACCCCATCCTTCCGAGGAGGATCTCCTACTGCATGTCGCCCGTTGATGATCCTGGTCTTTGTTCGCCTCAAGAAATCAGTCAAGCCAAGCTAAAGCCCTGGGGATAATCTCTTCTTTGGCAAGCTTATGGTTGTTGTTCTGGTGATTGCGACGTTCTTTCCACAGCTATCATAACACCACCCCAAACTTCTGGATATTTCCTTGGTCAAAATTCTTCCAAAATCCTTAAACCAATCAAGACATGATTTGCCCTCCCCAATCTCATACATTTCTTTTTCTACCTAGCCCTGCCATCTATTTCTGATCCAGCTGCAATCCCGCAACGCATGAGCCTGGTTCTTAGGGAGTCCATAAAAGGGGCACTCCAGAAAAATATCATCAATCCATTCAGCTAGGTTGCATCCTACATGTAAGATGTTCCTACCTGCTTTCCATAGGAATATGCGAACCTTGCGTGAAACATTAAGCTTCCAAAGTAGTTTCCATAACTTAGAATCCTCTCTAGCGGGGAAGTACTGATTGAGCTGCTGTTTAGGATGTTGCTCCCGTAATATGTTATAGGCAGATTTTAAAGAGTAGGTTCCATCCTCAGAATCCAACCAAATCCTTCTATCATCACATAGAGGAAACTGGAGAGGAATTTTGAAATAAGCTCACAATCACCTTTTGAGAATTTCTCGGGTAGCCTGGTCATATCTCATTCAGCCCTTTCATGGTTAACAAAATCACTAATACTTTCGTTATTATCCATCGCAGAGGGTTGGGGATCAACACAATAGAAACTTTTTCCCGGAATCCAAGCATCTTCCTAGACTTTAATTGACTCCCATCTCCAACTCTCCATCTAAACCCTTCATCGTTCTTGATGTTTGCTCTTGACGTCTCCCCTTCCAAGATTCAGCAAGGTTTGCTCGTTTTTCGATCGGTTGTTTGGATCTGGTGCCGGAGGAGATGCCATCTTTCCCTTTTCTCGGCAGCGGCGCGATGTATGTGCGGTGGGATGAAGGAAAATTTTAGGGTTTCTGTCCTCTTCTGGGTTGGTTTGGGGCTCTTGGGCTTTTTGTGTTGGGCTGTAACTCTATTGTATTTTCTTTGTTGAACCTTCATTCGGCTTGCCTTTTATCTGTTACCTCCATTGGTTTGTTATATCAATGAACGTGCTGTTGTAAAAAAAAATGTTGCTCTTGGTCTATAATATTTAAAGCTATTTCATAACCGAAACCAATTATACCATGTTCATTAACGTGTGAGAACCATGAATGATCGACTACTAATATTTTTGGATGAAATGAAGCTGACCTGAAGGATCCGAATCCGACCCGGGGAGAAATCCGTCCACGTGGAATTCAAGGCGCGTGAAACGACCTGAAGGATCCGAATCCGACCCGGGGAGATATCCGTCCATGTGGAATTCAAGGCGCGTGAAACGAACTTGCTATCTCCCATTTTATAAATTGTCCGTCGAATGCATACCAACGCCGACGTGTCCTTCTTTCTCTCATCTGTTCACTCGAAACGATCTCCTCAGTGTTAAACTGTAACCACCGCCGTCGGCGCTCGACGGAATCCGGAAATCCGTCCTCAGTCAACCGAAATCTGTAATCAATCCACTCCCGATCAATTTCTCCCCCTTTGCAACTGCTGGTCGGTCAACGAGAGTGATGATCGTGGCGCTTCTCGAATTCGACTGAGCGGAAAGGTCCCGAGTCGACTAGGCAAAACAAGAAGAACCCAGAGATGAGGGCGTTGAGGTATAAGTTCTGGAGATCTTGCGAGGACAAGGGAAACGCTGGAGGGGAATCGGAAGGAACCGGGGGAAATGAAGGCGAGAGCTCTGATCAATTCGATCATGAAATTGTGCAGCTGACGAAGCTTAGGTCAGCGCCGCACGAACGCTTAAGTCGAGAAACCCCGAAGGTGGGCGGAAGGTCCAGAGCGTCATCCGTCTCCACCTTGAAGATGTTGGCCGGCCGGGAGGCCAATTGCTCTGGAAGAGGGAGATTCTCAACGGCCGATGGTTGCCATGTGTTGAGCCGGTATTTGCCCGTGAATACTCCTGTGGAGGTTGACAACACGAGGAGCCGGGCTTATGTGTCTCAATTCTCGGCGGATGGATCGCTTTTCATCGCAGGGTTTCAGGTAACACTTTCTGTTATCCGTTGACCGGAGGTAGTGACTGTGATTTTCTCTGTGGAAATGGGGGTTTGTAAGGTTAATTGTATTCGGGGTTGCGCAGGGGAGTCACATTAGGATATACAACGTGGAGAAGGATTGGCAAGTTCATAAGAATATTCTGGCCAAAAGCTTGCGGTGGACGATTACTGATACTTGTCTTTCCCCTGATCAGCGGTTTCTTGTAAGTATTGGGTGCTTGAATTTGTTGGATAGAGAACATTATCTTGGTTTCCTTATGATGGCTAGCTTGGTTCTTTCCTTCTGTCTTGAAACGTGCAGGTGTATGCAAGCCTGTCGCCTATTGTACATATTGTTGATGTTGGTTCTTCCACAACCGAGTCGCTTGCAAATGTAACGGTATGTATGCTGTAAGTGCCATTGCAAGATCAAAATTTTGGTATGCTAGATAGGTTCCCATTGTGTTTCGCAATGATAAACCCTAAGTTTCAATTAATGGCTTGCTCAGAATTGTTTTCTTCCCATTGAGCTGATACTTAGTGTTTAGCGGAAAGTGATCTCTGCGTGTGGGTTTTGTTTCTTCATTCTAAAAATCTTCATGTGCAGGAAATCCATGATGGTTTGGATTTTTCCAGCTATGATAATGAGGATGATGATGAATTCGGGATCTTCTCTATAAAATTTTCAACTGATGGCAGGGAGCTGGTCGCAGCAACTAGTGATGATTCAATATATGTTTATGACCTTCAAGCCAACACTCGAACCCTCCACATTCCTGCCCACCAGGTAAATTTTTTCTTTGTCGTCCTCCCCACCAATTTCCCGTCTTGTCAATGATCGAGTGATGAGAACTGTACTCTTGGTTTAGTTGAATCTCCAATGTATTAGAGTCTTGATTTGGATGCCTTCTTGCAGGCTGATGTAAATACAGTATGCTTTGCTGATGAAACTGGCCATGTTATTTACTCTGGAAGTGATGACCACTTATGCAAGGTAATTAAAGCTTGATTCCTGGTAAGTGTATCTCTCATGGAGTTGTTGCTGTTGGTTTATATTTTATAACACTTGCAGGTTTGGGACAGACGATGCTTTAACGACAGAGGGCAGGCAGCAGCAGGAGTATTGGTGGGGCATCTGGAAGGTGTCACATTCATAGATAGCCGTGGAGATGGACGTTATTTGATATCGAATGGGAAGGATCAGACCACAAAGCTATGGGATATAAGGAAGATGACTTCAAATGCCACAAAGTAAGTGAGATGTTATTGTTTGTCAATTACTCGAGCAATTTATGTCATAACAATATGGTGACATCTCATTTCATCCCTTCAACCAGCTATCCAAGAATAAGAGATCCGGACTGGGATTACAGATGGATGGAATACCCACCTCATGCTAAAACGATGAAGCATCCTCGTGATATGTCCCTGACTACTTACAGTGGTCATTCGGTCCTTCGCACCCTTATTCGCTGTTACTTCTCGCCTGAGTACAGGTACTGATTTTTGCTTAAAGATGTTAGTTTTGGCTAAAGGGTAACTTAAAAGAACTTCAACTACAACATAAAAAAAAGGAAAACATGAAGCTAAAACAAACACATCCTAAATATCGTTGGCCTCGACTTTTTACGAGTTTCGATCTAACTAATTGTGATGATTGTGATGCAAACTTGTTTGCAGCACCGGCAGGAAGTACATCTTCACAGGGTCGAGTGACTGTTGTGTTTACATTTATGACTTGGTAGGCCTCCTTTCACCTCAGAGTCAAAGAGCAGATTTCCCTCTATTTATTGGAAATGAAGCGATCATGGTCTAATGTTGTGAATTTCGTTTCGTTTGGGTTATGTTGTTTAATAAAAGGTGAGTGGAGCTCAAGTGGGTTGCCTGGATTATCATGAAGGACCTGTGAGGGATGTTAGCTGGCACCCCGTCTACCCGATGCTCGTCAGCTCCTCGTGGGATGGCCGCATCGCGAAATGGGAGTTTCCTGGCCCCGATGAGGAGTTGAATCCATCTGCAGTCATACGGAAGAAGAGAACTATTCGCCAGCATTTTCTATACTGAGTGAGGAGAAGGAAGAGAGCCATGTTCTTGTGAGGGCACTCAAATGGCTGATGTATTACCTAAAGAAGGATCTCATAGTTGTCATGTGTATGTATGTAAACAGAAGATGAATAAAAAGGTTCAGTGAAACTGTTGTGAAGTAGCTGCTCTGAATTCTTTGAAAGTTGTAAGATAAGTTTCTTTCTTTCTCTATCAGTACCCTTTTTCCCAAAACTTTTGTTTGGTACTTCTGAGTTTTTTCTCACAATTCTTAATGGGAATATTAATGATGTATGTATATAATATATTGGCTTAGTTTGAATCCTTGTTTTGCGATCTTCTGATTATGATTTTCCATTGTTGTGATAGAGTGAATATCCGAACATTATGTGAATTACATGTAATTCAAAATCATGATTTCAAATACATGCACAAGCACACATAATCAATTAATCAAAATACCCTTGTTAATATTCAAAGCTGACATGGGCGAAAGGCTTTCTCCTTGTAGTAGCTACTCGACTCAGCCAACAACAACATATTTAGACACCCCCTTTCACTATAAGGCATCAAATAAACAAGAGACCCCCTTTTTTCTTCCAACTTGATTCTCAGATACTGATGTCCATAGATTCTATTCTAAAACTGGTAATGCCACCACCCTTCCGGTTTCTTGACTGCTTTTGGCCATTATTATCTTGCAACAATTTCTGATATTCAGCTTTATAAACAGATTGATCATCATGTGTGTATTTACTTTTGTCCCATACATACATGAAGGTAACACCAGTCTGCAGAATTTGCTTTTTCTTGGCAGCAATTGGAAGGGATAGCAGGATATACCAACTTTCTGGGTTTTTGGGATTCTGGGTTCAGCTGGAAAAGATGGAACTCCTGGGTTGTGGTCATAGTATTGAGTATGGATGGTACTTGTTGGAGATGCTGTGGTAGAGGGGAAACCGCGGCGGGTTCTTTTGGATACTGATTTTGACACTGATTATTTCTTTGCTCTACTGTACCTCTCGAAGCTAAACCAATCAGATTTGTAATCCTTGCTCAATAAGGATTTGGACAATGGTTGTTATACGGGGTTTTATTTTTCTCCATTGTGTTTTCAGGTTATTCATTCATGAATTCCAGTCAGTCTTGTGCCTTTGGATGCAACAAACGCGATTCCAGCATATAAGGAGTTCTTTGAGGTGTTTGAACAGAGACGAGACACGTACAAGGCACAGTACTGCTTCAAATCCTAGAAAATGGCCTGGGACACTTGGTTGGATAATCAATTCTACTTAGTAATTCATCTTCTAGTTCCAATCCCACTTCAAAATGAAAAGAAGGAATGTTGGTTGAGACAATGACTCTATGTTTCAGCTACTTCATGTGGGACTCTTTCATATCTGCTGTGGCAGCTTCCATCCTGCTGCAAAATCCACATAAAAGCAAACTTGGGGAGAATGAGTTCGTAGAGATGAGTACATAAACATAACTGTGGTGACCTCAAATCAACCTTATGGAATCAATGATGGATCCAATCCAGCTTTATGATGGATGTCAAGTTCCAAAATGGTCTGCAGAAAGGTGGGATTCATAGTGGACATGTCCAGACAAGCCCCGGAGATTCGTTCTGCATAGTGAAGAATGACAAAGGCAAAATCCAGGTAAAAAATGACTGCATCTCCTTCACAAATTTGTTCCCCAATTCTTCTGGGACATATAGGATGACTACACAAAGGATACTGCAGGTCTAGATTCAGTACAAGTTCTTGTTGCTACAAGAGCAAAGGCTAGTGGAGATCCAAGTAGCATGTTCTACTAGTGAAACCCATCAATGTCCTTGCTGGAGGTGATGAATCCACTGATGGACAAACAGTGATCGATGAAGTGAAGGAAAATTAGCCAAAGTGAAACTTATAGAGCCATGTGCATATTACGAAGCTTTTGTGAATCAACTAGGAGAACAGAAGCAATCTGCTGTCATAGGAAGCTTTGAGGAGCAAAAAGAATCTGGAAAACAGGCCTCCAAAGTAACACAAGTTTTCATGTGTAAAATACTGGACTTGGACCAGACTTTTCGACACACGGAAGTTTGATTTTATATCTGTACTTTGCCCTATTCAAAGGAAACAGAGTACAGTTCATAGAGAAAGGTGATTGTAAAGTGTGCTACTCCTAGCTATCTCGGTCTTATGAATATTCGAAAAACTAGTGAGTGAAATCGATTCGGACTTATAATCTTCTGAAAATAATAAGTTGTAAGAATCGAATCCTAAAACACACCGTGCTAATCTCATACTTTATCACTTGAGTTATTCCTGGTTTTAACAGTGTTTTGATGAGTTCTTCTATTAATAGCCAAAACATGGGATGAACTAGCCAATCAGGATTTAACAGCATGTGTAGATCAGCAAGAAGAAGAAAAAAAAGGATGTGGATCTGCCCACCATCAGAAGTGGCACTTTTCAGATTCGCTTACTGTCAAAGATCATTTCTTTATCAGTCTCAGATTCTGAATTCATGGTTGCGCAAAATTCTACAAAGTCTTTTACCATCTTCTTTATTTTATTCTATAAAAGAGTTGGTGCGTTTCCTTTTCCAACATGAATTCACACTTGGGTTGGTTGAGCTGACAGGAATGGTTTGGGTATGTTTTGTTTTTCTTTTCCTCCAAAACTGATTCTCACTAGCTAACAGAAGCAGAGGAAATCATTCAAAGATTTGATGAATGGCCAACAACTGTCTGGACTCTGGTGTGATTGGGTTGATGGGAACTGGCCCATTTCCCCTTTTTAAAGCTCAATCATGTGGGAGGGAGTATCCTATTCCACCACTAACTTCCATGTTTTGTTTGTTTGCATATTGTTTTGGGGGGAAGAGAGAAACAAAGGAGGTTGAAGGACAGCCTCAGCAGAGTGAAGAGTTGACTGATTCTGAGGAATCAAATCTTTCCCAGTTGAGAATGAGAGATGATTTTGAGTCCCTACAACATTCATAGTTGGCAGATTTGGGTTCTTGTGAAACTTTTGGTTCTTTGCTTGCAAGGGATATTTGCTGTTGTTGTTTACCTAGGAAGGCATGTTTGTTTTTGTGACATATGGGACCATAATCTAGACAAGTGTTAATTTTGCTTTCGTCCCGGACCTAAATTTCCACTTAAACACAAGATTTCTCGCTATATTTTCGTTCGAACTTACACAACTAAGTCACTGGGTGTCTAACGAATAAGTTGTATCTCAAGGTTGATCTGAAAGCACCACTGTCTATCATACAAAAAGTTTGACAACCACATCTAGTATACATGAAATTGACTCGTCGTACCAGTTAAACCACATACCGAAAGCTACACTTTCATCACGATTTAACCATTGCATGTCGAACATTAACATCGTCGGTTCCATCCTGTGAACGTCAATTACCAACATGAAACAACAATGCAGGAACAAGAAACCAATTGTGACTTCAAGAAACAGAGAGAAGGGAGGGATCGGATCTATTTGATAATGTGAAAGATCACATACATACATCAATACAATCACAAAAAACCTCCCCTCATTAGTTAGGAACTGACCCTTATAGGTTGGCAGCATATCATAAAGCATGAAGAACAACAACATGACAAAGAAATAGTTTTCTCTACATTAAAACAACCTTCCAATCTCTTCTTCCCACGATTTGCTCATAGGAAACCCAGCTCGTCCACAGGAACTGATCCACCAGCAGCCACAATTTTTTGCTCCAGCTGCATAATTTGCAGCAAGGAGAATTACTTAGTAACTCCCTCAACCTAATAACCAGGAAAGGGGAAAGGAGAGGAAAGAAGGATGGAACTAAGATTGTGTATCAACTCACACTGAAGAGATTTTCTAATTTGTTCTTCACAAGGTAGTATTCCTGCTTTACCTGATGCAGGCATCTCAGGCTCCTGCATTAGATGAAACAATTGAAACAGTTTCAGGCTCAAAATCTCTGAGCTCTATTGTACTCAAACAACCAGCTTATGAACCAAAAAGTAAAGAAAAAAGGAACCTGCTAGGCTTAACGATCATTTGAAACGATTTAGCATTTTTTGTTGACACTAATCTCAAGAGGTATTTGAATAAATTTACTCTAACAAAATGAGTCTGATGTGTTTCTTCTCATCTTTCTGTCACAGTTTCACATAGGAATGCAATCTAATGAACCAGCAAATGTCTACAAACACATAGAACAAAACGCACGACATTCAAAACTCACCCTTCAATGTTCTGTTCATCACAGAAGCTGCGGAAAGCAACACAGGCATTCTTAACTCTCTGAGCTCCTATGCTGCAAAATTCAACAAACAGAATCATTCTCCCAACCCATCATTATGTCTACAGATCTAACAAACTACCAAAATCAAAAGCATTAATTTTACCTGGAGCTGCTGCCTTTGAGCTGGTGAACATGTGCATCAACTTTCTTAAAGTCCACACCTTGCTGCTGATCTCTGTGGACAAAACAATAGAAGGATCAGACCAAACTTTAGGGATTTAAAGGAGAAAAGCAGAGAAGGGGATGTCAGTAATCAGGTACTAAGACTACTTACATAACTTTGGTGAGATCATTGAGAAGGCGCTCAGAATCTTCAAAGAAGAGAGACACAACTTCCACAACGAAATCTGGGTTGCTCTCATCTTGCAGCAGCTGAAGCTGAGCAAATTGACTGTCCAGAAAGCCCTTTTCCCCCCACCACCAAATCGAAATTCACATATCAATCAATGAACCAGAAAGAGGAAAACATCCATTGAAGAAAAAGCTTCAAATTGTTTTTCTGGTTTGAATTATTTAGAGTGTTACCTCTCTATACAAGGACTTGGTATACTCAACCCAGGTTCTCTGCATCTGGATTACATCCATTTTCTCTCTTCTTATCCGACAGAAAGATGGCTGCTTTCAGACAAAAGGAATCGACCCAGTTGCTGGAAATTTAAGCTAGTTGTTTGCACAACCGAGTTGATGGATTTAATGCCTGTGGGAGAAGAGCTCAAACGAACAAGAAAGTTGAAAGCTGCCTTTTTTTTTTCTTCTTCTGGGTTTGTGGCTTTAGCCAGAGGGAGGGAGAGAGAGAGTCAGCTTAGTTTGAGCAGCAGCAAAGCAACTAAGCAAGAGGAGATCAGAAGGGCTTAATAATCTTTATACCAGGTTGATTCTTTTCTTTCCATTTTTGCTTTTTAAGTAGAATATTGCTTTTTGTAAAATGTCTTTCTTTGTCCGAACCTATAAATGTCATCTTATTAATTTCACTAGTTTTTTGGCCCGCGCTCCGCCGCAGTAAGAAATTAACGATTTAGTTGAAATCAAATAATAACAAAATTATTCATATAAGATATATACATAAATTGCACGTAGTGATCGAATTATTATAAATAACATGAGTCATTCGTTATAAAAGACTTAAAATTGATAAATACAAAATAATTATTTGTCTGTAAGCTTTACGTAGTGTCATAGCCATTAAGAAAGACTCATGTAATTATTATAGAACATTGTTACTTAAATCTTTCATAATCTGTGGTCTAATAATAAAATCAAGTTATAGTAAGTAACATGATGAATCTGTAATTTATGTAACTTTTATAGAAAGTTGCTACATAAATCTTTCATAATGTTTGGTCTAATCACAAAATATAATTTTAAAAAGTAACATATGATTAAACTGTTATGTCAAAGTTAACTAATCATGAGCTCATGGTAAAATTGGATGTAGGAGATAAAGAACAATTATAGAATGTTGTTATATAAAATATTTATAGTGTGTGGCTAATAATAAAATCAAATTTTAGAAAATAATCGTATGATAAAACTTTTTTTGTCAAAGTTAATAATCATGAGCTTATGGTAAAATTGGATATAGGAGATAAAAAAAACTGTTATAGAACGTTGTTACATAAATATGTTATAGTGTGTGGTCTAATAATAAAAATCAAATTTTAGAAAATAAAGTATGATTAAAATCTTTCATAATGTGTGGTCTAATAATAAAAATCAAATTTTAGAAAATAAAGTATGATTAAAATCTTTCATAATGTGTGGTCTAACGACAAAATAAAATTTTAAAAAGTAACATAGGATTAAACTGTTATTGCAAAGTTAACTAACTGTTATGTCAAAGTTAACTAATCATGAGTCTATGGTAAAATTGGATGTAGGAGATTAAAAATTATTACATAATGTTATTACATAGATATTTTATAGTGTGTGGTGTAATAATAAAATCACATTTTAGAAAGTAACATATGATTAAACTATTATGTGAAAGTTAACTAATCAGGAGCTTATAGTAATATTGGATGTATGAGATAAAAAACTGTTATAGAACGCTATTACATAAAAATTTTATAGTGTTGTTTAAATAATAAAATCAAACTTTACTAAGTGACGTATGATGAAACTAATATGTCAAAGTTAACTAATCATGAGCTATCATAAAATTGGATGCAGGAGATTAAATTTTTTTATAGAACGTGCATAAATATTTTATAGTGTGCGGCATAATAAGAAAATTAAATTTTAGAAAGTAACGTATGATAAATCTGTTATGTCAAAGTTAACTAATCATGAGCTTATGATAAAATTGAATGTAAAAAATAAATAAATAACTATTATAGAACGTTGTTACATAAATATTTTATAGTGTACGGTCTAATAATAATATCAAATTTTAGAAACTAAAGTATGATTTATGTGTTATGTCAAAGTTAACTAATCATGAGCTTATGATAAAATTGGATGTAGGAGATAAAAAAACAATTATACAACATTGTTACATATATATTTTATAGGGTGCGGTCTAATAATACGTTTATATATGCATAAGAAATAACTATCGTACCATAAAATTTACGTAATGTATAATAATTAATATGGTTCCACAATTTTTACATATGCAAAACTAATATTATGTAAATACATAATAAGCATTGTAACGCACAATGGTTATCTATGCTAAACTAATATTAGTATATATAAAAAGCATTGTAACTTAATAATGAAAATATTTTTAAAAAGCTTTGAAAGTTAATAATGGGACGGTTATAATAAGGGACAAACAAAGTTAACTAATCATGAGCTTATGGTAAAATTGGATGTAGGAGATAACAAAATTGTTATAGAACATTGTTACATAAATATTTTATAGTGTGTGGTCTAATAATAAAAATCAAATTTTAGAAAATAAAGTACGATTCAAATCTTTCATAATGTGTGGTCTGATAACAAAATATAATTTTAAAAAGTAATTAACTGTTATGATTAAACTGTTATCGCAAAGTTAACTAACTGTTATGTCAAAGTTAACTAATCATGAGCTTATGGTAAGATTGGATGTAGGAGACACAAAAACTATTATAGAATGTTATTACATAGATATTTTATAATGTATGGTCTAATAATAAAATCGAATTTTAGAAAGTAACGTATGATTTAACTATTATGCCAAAATTAACTAATTATGAGCTTATGGTAAAATTGGATATAGGAGATAAAGAAACTATTATAGAATGTTGTTACATAGATATTTTATAGTGTGTGGGGTAATAATAACATCAAATTTTAGAAAGTAACGTATGAATAATCTGTTATGTGAAAGTTAACAAATCATGAGCTTTTAATAAAATTGAATGTAGAAGATTAAAGAAACTATTATAGAACATTGTTACATAAATATTTTATAGTGTGTGGTCTAATAATAACATCAAATTTTAGAAATTAATGTATGATTTAAGTGTTATATCAAAGTTAACTAATCATTAACTTATGGTAAAATTGGATGTAGGAGATAAAAAACTATTATAGAACATTGTTACATATATATTTCATAGTGTGCGGTCTAATAATACGTTTATATATCATTATAAAAAAAATAATACGTTTATATATGCATAAGAAACAACTATTGTACCATAAACTTTATGTAATATGCTAAACTATATTATGTATATATATAAAGCATTGTAACTTAGTAATGAAAAGCTTTAGAAAAGCGTTGAAAGTTAATGATGGGATGGTAATAATAAGGGGCAAACATATTAGAATTCTGGTTCCTAAAAATTGCTACCGTGGGCGCTATCACAGCGGATTCAAGTACATCATGCAGCATGTTAACAGTAACCCGGAATTAGAGTTACTAAAATTAAACATGCTAAAACGTAACCTCGTAAGGAACAGTGAAAATAATTAATAGGTTGCTTAGGCTTTTAATTATTTTTTTTTTTTTTTTTTGCGTAATGGGAGGCAAAAGCCAAGAAAAGGAACCCAGAAGGTCTTACAAGCTGGTGGAATCCATCGCCACAATCCGGCGCTCGAAAGAAATACCCATAGCATCCTCTCTAACAATAGAAGCTAACTCGGGGGGTGGGTTCGCAACCTCATGTACACCGTAGGGATAGACGAGACTGTGCTTCGAGAGCCAGTCCGCGACTCTATTCCCTTCCCGGTAAACATGAGTGATGCTTACCAACCAGTCTTGACCGATCTTCCTACGGATGGCTGAGAGAAGGGTAGCATGAGGATGAACAGGATCACTTCTGTTGTTGATGAGCTGAATCGCCAGCTGGGAGTCAGACTCCAGGCGCACCGCCCTGTACCCTTTTTTCCAAGCCATAACCAACCCATGAAACACTGCCCACAACTCGGCCAAAATGGCCGTCGCCGTCCCAAAGTTCGCGAGGAAACCAGCGATCCAATTACCTGTCCCGTCGCGAAGTACACCTCCAGCTCCAGCAGCTCCAGGGTTGCCATTAGAGGCCCCATCAACGTTTAAGGCCACCCAACCATGAATCGGCGGAGTCCACCCGACCATCACCGTAGTACGAGCGGTCATAGACCCTCTACCGTAGGGGAGGGGGGAGGGGGCTTGCCAAGCCTCATGCCACAGTTTACACTTAGCCATAATCGAGTACTCAAGGGAAGGAGGGGAGAGGGCAGAGCTAGAACCTCTGAAGCTGGACGTGCACCGATTCTTCCAAAGGAGCCAAGATGCGACGCTGAAGAAGGCAGCCCAGCTCATACCCGAGCCCAAGGGCTCGCTGTTCCTAAGATTCCCCCGCAGCCAGTCGCTCTCATCCATGTTGAAGAAGCTGGCCTGCAGGCCAGGCGGGCTGTGCCGAAGCCAAAAGTACCTGGCCGCAGTGCAATCACGTAAAATATGCAGAATGGACTCGACTGGATGTCCGCAGCTTCCACAGCTCTGGTTGTTGGTGACTTTCCTTGAGAACAGATGGGAATTAGAAGCCAACCTCCCCAAGAAAGCCAGCCACAAAAAGCTCCTGATCCTTTCTGGGACAGGAAGGCTCCAGATGATCTTCCAGACGTCCTCATCCGGGTCGGGCGTTCCCTGGTTTTGGAGAGAATAAGCAGTCTTCGCCGAGAACCTTCCATCCGACGAGGCTGACCAGAAGATGGTATCGTCCTCCGTGGCCATCTTGTCAACTCCAATGCTCAGGATCTTCTGGAAAACGTCACTCGGGATGAGGTCCTCAAAAAGCTCCGTCCGCCAAGTTCCGTCTTCCTCCACGAACCTCTCGATCGGCTCCGCAGTATCAGACTCCGGGATGTGACCAAGAGCCACCTCCTTAAGCGGAACCTGCAAAACCCAAGGATCAAGCCAAAACTTAGTGCGTTTTCCGTTCTTTATATTCCAAGCACAACCTTTCCGGAGGAGGTCAGAGGCTTTAGTAAAACTTCGCCAGGTAAAGGAACTTCCCTGAATTGGACGGATGATGTCAAGGTTCTCCCGCTGACGACCATACTTAGCCACCATTAACTGGGTCCAGAGGCTGTCCTTCTCCTTCAACAATCTCCACCCGCTCTTAGCAAGCATCGCTAGGTTCGCTTGCTTGAGGGATCTTAGGCCAGCTCCACCTTGCAACTTTGGCTGCGTCATCTTGTCCCAGGCTACCAGATGCATCTTCGACTTGTCTTCCTCGTCTCCCCATATAAAATCTCTGTTCATCCTGTCAATACTCTTACAAACAGTGCTGGGGATTAATTCAGTATTCATGCAGTAAGTAGGCAGAGAGGACGAAACAGATTTGACAACAGTAAGCCTGGCTGCAAAAGAAAGTTTTTTTGCCTTCTAGGGAGCCAGCTTCTGTTGGATCCGAAGGAGGAAATTCTGATAGCGGCTTTGCGTGACCCTCCCATGAATAGTCTGAAGCCCCAGGTACTTCCCAAGCTCCCTCTTAAGAGGAATGCCAGCTCGTCTGCTAAAATGGTCAGCCCTCTGACGACACACGTTAGGCGACACATACAACAGGGACTTGCTGTAATTGACTCTTTGACCGGAGCTGAGGCAGAAATCGTCCAAACATTGCCGGATAACCTTTACCTGTCTCGTCTCTGCTTCTGCAAACAAAAGAAGATCATCTGCAAAAAAGAGGTGAGTAAGAGGCGGCCCTCCCTTGGTCAGGTGGATCGGCTTCCAGCTCCTGTTCTTCACAGCCTCATCAATCATGTGAGAAAGGCGTTCCATACATAAAACAAAAAGGTAGGGTGAAAGAGGGTCTCCCTGGCGCACTCCCCGAGTCGGGGTTAGAGTTGGAGACAATTCCCCATTCCAGAGGATCCTCATACGATTCTGCTCCACGCAAAACATAATACAGTTGATCCACGTACTGGGCAGCCCTACTTCTTTGAGAGTATCACGCAGAAAGTCCCATCTCAGCATATCGTACGCCTTCTCCAGGTCAATCTTCAGAATGAGCCCTCCTTTCTTCCCCTTCTTCCTCTCGAGAGTATGAAGCGCTTCCTGCACTACTATGATGTTGTCCGTCGTTTGTCTTCCTGGGATGAAACTACTCTGCCTCGGTGAGACAAGCTTCCTCATCACCGGTTTCAATCTGCTGGTCATTGCCTTTGTGATAGCCTTCAAGTTGACGTTATTGAGGGATATGGGCCGCAACTGCGAGACAAACTCCGGGCTGTCCACCTTCGGGATTAACACCACCGTAGACTCTGAAACCGCGTCTGGCAAAGAACCTGTAGAGAAGAAATGGATAGCTAAATCCGTTAAGGCCTTACCCACCACCCTCCACATCTGCTGATAGAAAACCGCTTGGAACCCATCAGGCCCGGGGGCCTGGTAGGGCTTCATATCGAAAATGGCTTTGTGAATGTCGATGGCAGAGAAGGGGCGCAGAAGAAGCATCAATTCCCCCTGGTCAAGTCTGGGAAAAGCATTCTTTGGCAGGCGGTCTTCATAAGTAGAATCATCCTGCAAATACAGCCGAGCCAGAGAGTCAAAGACCAGCGCAGCAAGGGCATGAGGTTCCTCTACCCAGTCCCCATTAACATCTCGAAGAGCTAGGATCTTGTTGCGTCTTCTCCGAACATTGACTTGATGATGGAAGTAAGCCGTGTTCCTCTCTCCGAACTTCACCCACGGCTCCCTAGATCTATGAAACCACAAGAGCTCTTCCTGCTCGAGCACCTTGTCAAGCTCAGCCTCTAGCTTGGCATGAAGCTTCGCCAGCGCCGGTGAAAAGGCATGAGAGAGTCTTGTTTCAACCCCCTGCAATCTGGCCAACAATCTCCTCTTCTTCTGCTGAACATTCCCAAAAATATTTTTATTCCACTCTTTAAGGTTCTCGGCCAACGAGGAAAGCGCCTGAGTAAGTTGAGCATCCTCCTCCCAGGTACCTGCAACAAAGTCCTGGAAATTATCATGGGTGAGCCAAGCCGCCTCAAATTTAAAGGGACGAGAGTCGGAAAAAGGGGGCCCCTGGGTGGCCACAGTGGTCAGGATGGGGTTGTGGTCCGACTGAAGCCTGGGGAGATGTAACACCGAAGTGGCAGGAAAGCACTCATTCCATTTCAAATTACAGAGACTCCGATCCAGTCTACTGGCTTTGTGGGACTGAACTGAGTTACCCCTCGTCCACGTGAACCTTGAGCCCGAAAACCCCAGATCGATCAACTCGACTGAATTGATCCTGTCATTAAACTTCCGGCACCGTCTGATGGTAGCTGCAGAGGAGGAGCCAATCTTCTCCGCAGGCGAACGAATGGCGTTGAAATCCCCTGTGAGGATCCAAGGCTCCTCAAAGATTTTGCTTTGTTCAATAATGCTGTCCCAGAGAGAACTTTGAAAATGTTGCTGGGGCGAGGCGTAGACTGCGGTCAGCACCCACGAACTGCCTCTTCCCTGCCGAACTCGGACGGAAATGTGCTGGTTACATGCTGAGAGGAGCTCAGTCGAGAACTTCCCGCCATCCCAGCAGATCCAGATCCCTCCTTTTCTGCCTTCGGCATCCACCCTGATGGAATTGGGAAACCCCAGTTTATCACAAACCAAGTCAGCCGAATTTCCACTAATTTGTGGCTCCAGTAAGATGACAAAATCCAGCCGATGTTGACGAATTGAGAGCTTCAAGGCTCGGGCAAAGGCCTTGCTACCTGCACCACCAACGTTCCAAGCAAAAATTTTTAGAGAAGGAATAACAGACATAATAATGATAGCAGAAAGAAGGTAGAAACGGGAGCGAAAAAACCAGGTCTTCGGGAACAAAAAGGGCGGCAGGGGCATTAGACAGCGCCGCCAGATCGGGCCGAAGCAGGGGGTGAACCGCCCATCAAGACTCCATGACCCGAGGGTGGGGTAGGGGCGTCGCACTGATCCTTCGCTGCCGGAAAACCCGTCGCCGAAAGGGCCGCCTCCGTCCAAGCATTAATCTCCTGGAGGGTGAGAGATGCCATCCTCGATTTTGATTTTGCCTTCCTCTCCTTCATCGGGGACCATATCTGAAGCGGGCGGATCGGGTTCAGCTTCGCCGGCGAACCCTTCTTCGATTGTCCCTTGGAGCTCTTCCTTCCTTTAGTTCTAATTGCCGTCGACGGGGGGGAAAGGTCGGCACGGCGCTGGTGCACATCTCCTTGAGATGCTACCTGAATGACCTGCAAAACCGTCCCATTCGGACCAGTGGAGACCAGCGTTGGTGGAGGGGTGATAGGCCTAGCTTTTGGGCTGTCTTGCTCGCGGGGCCCAGAGGAAGAAACTTCATTCGGCCTGCTAAGCAAAATGGGGGGTGTCTGATTTGGGCTTGACGTCGAGGCCTTAGAAGCCTCCGATTTGGGCTGGCCTTTCTTTGTAAGAGATCCCTTCGCTGGGCCCGGGCCCATCAAACCTTTCCCAACGGGCGGGCCTTCCTCCCTCATAACCTCCTTGCCATTCCTTCTGCCTTCCCCGAAGTTCCTTCCTCCTAGCTCTTTCCTTTCCTGTGCCGACGACCGTTGGAGGAGAGCCGAGGGCTGAGGCGCCACCACCGGTAATGAAACCTCTGGATCCTTGAATTTCAGAGCACCCTTTCCATTCTTATCCGTGTTCCCATGATGGAGACCCCCCAAATCCTTTTCCTTGGCTTTAATGGTGTTCCCCGAATCTTTTTCCTTTCCTTTACTGTTCGATTCCCTCTGATTCCGCCTTCCTTTCCGCGTGACAAGCATCCACGGGCCGAAACCCGCATTCCCCTCCGACGAAATCTCCGGCGAGGAAATTTGGGTGCCGCCGACGGCGATCCCAGCAACCTCCGGAACAGGGGCAGGCCGGAGCTGGGGGCACGCTGTCGAAGAGTGGCCGATCTTTCCGCACTCGAAGCACACAGCTGGTAGGTTTTCGTATTCAACGGCCTGCCAGTCATCGTCTAGCCAAATTCTTGGAACAAGGGGCCTAGAGAGATCAACTTCCACTGCCAGCCTTGCAAATTTTGCCCTCTGTTGGGTGAGAGTGTGGTAGTCGAGTTTGATCGTGCGTCCGATCAAGTTACCCAAAGTAGTCAAAACCTCCTTGTGGTAAAAGTGGATTTTCAGCTCGGGGAGGTGGACCCATACGATCATCGTTCGTGGGAGAGGGTCTGAGACCTTGAATTTTGGCGTCCATTGCTGGACAGCCATGTAATGGTCGAAGATCATCCAAGGACCATCCGTAAGAGCTTTAAAATAATCCTGATCATTGTTGAGTTTCACCAGGTAACATGCTTCATCAAGATCCCTGACCTCCATAGAACCAGACGGACGCCAAAGCGCCCTTAGGCGTGAGTTGAGAGTGTGGAATCCAATCTTGATGCCTAGAAGCCGGACCACCAAAGTTCGGTGCCACGGAGCACACAGCCTGTTCTTGAAATCCATGGAAATATTCAGAGCTGGTTCGCCATTTCGCTCGCCGGGAATCAGGTCATGTTCACCGACCGGGGTCCATTGAACTGGCATCGGTTGCGACATAGAAGCAATCGGACCGCCCGTGAGAGCGCTCGCGTATGAGAAAGGCTGTTTCAGAACCGTCGTCTCCTGAGGCGATGGAGCACTCGTCAGGGCCATCTGGTTGTTAAGGATGCTGTTCACCCCTACCACCGGTGCTTTAGCGCTCGGCTGCGTTTCCCCGGCGATTGGGTCAACCATCATCGCATTCGAGGCAATGTGTTCATTCGATTCCCCGGACAGTACACTAGAAGGGCGCGTATCCTGGGTCTGGCCTGTATCCGGCGGCCGGCCAGCATCAGATTCAACCGGCGCCGGAGGAGGCTGAGCAGTCGGAGTAGTCGGGAGCATTTTTTTCATGTGGTAATTGACAATTCTCTTCCTTGGCTTTTAATTATTTAATGGTTGGTTAAAAAGAAGAAAGGGACTGAAATAATGAGTGATAACAAATTGGCCCAAGAAGAAGGAAAAGAGGACTGGAATTTGTGGTGGGTTCGGCCACACTTAATTATATCACTAATGAACAGTATTTGGGGAGAAATTTTCGTGAGGAACAGTATAATTACTTTCGGCATACTTGTGCCTTTAATATATTAATTAATTATTATTACAATGTTAATCCTTTGAAATTAGACCAATGTTGTCCGAATTCAGACATATTATCAGCTGCCAACCCAAAATTAGATGAAGTTTTTATCTCATATTTATCTGAAAATAATATATTGAATTAATTTGGTTCATGGATATTGTTTTATTGAAATTAGGTTCCCTTATTATTTTAAAAACATTAATTGCAAAAAATTTAGGCGATTGGGGATTTTATTGCATCCCAGGAAGGATTCATAACTCCTACATTAATAGGGATAGTTACTACACAGATGTCAGTTGAACTTTGAAAGTACTAATAAGTGGTATGCAAGTTTGACCTTTTATTGAATTTGTTACTACAATTCCATCCATCTCTATTCAGAGAAACACATATGAACGAATTCCCGAACTAGATCGAAGGTCAAGAAAAACCACCTCTATCTACTTATTTGTTAAGTTGTCATACGAATTTTGGATGATTTTAAAAAAAAAATTGAAATGACAATTGTAATAGTGAACAAAGTTTTGATGACAATTTTGTTAAAATTTACAATTGCTCAAGCTTATTTGTAATTTCACCTCAAAGTTCATTGACGACCCCATCCCTAAGCTTAATAAAATCTAGAGGAAGAGAAATACTTAAACCTAGTGTATAACACAAAAAAAAAAGTTTTGTCTTTCAATTCATGTTTTAATTCCTTTTCACCCTTCTTGATATGTATGCGAGTAATACATATTGAATGAGCTCAAAAGCTTGTGTTTCTATTATTCACAGAATATATTTAAAGTACAGCAACAACAGATTGTGCAGCAAAACGTGGAACTGAAGCAGTGGAAATAGACGCTACAACAGCCCACTAACAACAATACTAACAACTAACAGAAGCTGAGATTTATAGGGAATATGGTACACATCATCACGCCCCCGCAAGTTGAGGCTCCATGAGGCGAAACTTGGAGCAGAATCGATTGAAGGAGACCCTTGGCAACGGCTTGGTAAGCATGTCAGCAAGCTGATCGGCAGCTGGAAGATAGTGAACATGTAGTTGACCTTTGCTGACCTGATCGCGAACGAAATGAAATTCAATCTCCATATGTTTGGATCGATTGTGGAAAACCGGATTATGAGCGAGGAAAGTGGCACCGAGATTATCACACCATAAAGCAGGGGCCGAAGGAATGGACTGACCCAACTCATGTAACAAGGATCGAAGCCAGAGAACTTCAGAGGCTAAAGTGGCGAGAGCACGATATTCACACTCTGTTGACGACCGGGCCACCAATTTTTGTTTCCGTGTAGACCATGAAACTAGATTTGACCCACAAAAAATGGCGAAGCCAGTGATTGATTTTCTGCCTTGAGGACATGATGCCTAAGATGCATCCGAGTATCCGTGAACGTGCAAGGTCGATGACCGAGAAATAAACAAACCCTGAGATAGCGTAAAATACGCTTAACAGCAGCCCAGTGAGCATCCGTAGGATCCTTTTGATACTAAGATACAAGATTAACGGCGAAAGAGATGTCCGGCCGTGTGAAACTGAGGTATTGCAAGCCACCAACTACACTGCGATATAGGGCTGGGTCTGAAAACCGGGGAGAGATAGTAGAAGCAGCCTGTTGAAGTAATTCGGACGTAGCAGGAGTAGATATAGCATTGGCCATGGCCATCTTAGCACGATCAAGGAGATCGAGAATAAACTTTCGCTGGCTGAGAAGAATACCAGCAGCTGATCGGTGAACTTCAATTCCCAGAAAATATGATAAGGGACCCAGCTCCCGGAGAGCAAAATTGTCACGCAGAAACCCCATTAGCCTCTGAATTAGTGTAGTGTCATTGCCTGTGATGACGATATCGTCAACATACACAAGCATATATAGGCGACTGGACTTGGATTTGTAGATAAACAATGAAGGATCTGTTCGAGAGACAGAGAATCCAAAGCAAGTGAGTGTAGCAGCTAGGCAATGGAACCATGTACGCCGCCTGCCGAAGACCGTAGATTGATTTTCGGAGCCGGCACACATGATTTGGCTTGTCAGGATCCACAAACCCTGGGGGTTGCTGCATATATATCGTTTCCTGTAACTCACCATGAAGAAACGCATTAGCAATATCGATTTGATGAAGAGGCCAACTTTGAGAGACCGCAATGCCGAGAATGAGCCGTAATGTAGCGGGCTTGAGAACAGGGATGTAAGTCTGATGGAAATCCAGACCGGGCATTTGTTGAAAACCACGAGCCACCAACCGAGCCCGCCGCCGATCGAGAGAACCATCTGGGTTGACCTTAGTCCGATAAACCCACTTATTGGTGAGTATGTTGCAGGCAGCAGGTGGGGGAACCAAGTCCCATGTGTGATTGCGTAGCTGAGCGTTGACCTCGTCAGCCATGGCCGAGCGCCAGAGAGGGTTTTTGAGAGCTTGAGCAACTGTAGTGGGCTTGTCATCCAGGGGAAGGTGGGAGATAAAGGTTTTTGGTTTGAGGTTACCGGTTTTAATACGAGTAACCATTGGGTGGGCAGAGGATGTGGGATTAATGATGGGTAGAGGTCGAGGAGAAGTGGTGAAGGGAGGACGAGGAGCAATAGGACGGCCAGGGGGCAGAGGAGTCGATTTTGGTTTGGGAGGCGGCGGAATAGGGGAGACCGAGGAGGAAGAAGGAGACGAAGGGGAAGGGTCTGTAGGGGTAGACTGGGAGCAGGATGGGATTGGGCTGTTGGTGGGCTTGGAACAGGCGGGTGAAGTGGAATGGGTTGGTGGGGTGGGGTGGGGTGGGCTGAGGCGAGGGGGAATGATTGGGCGGAGTGGAAATTTGGGCGGGTAAGGGGTCAGCGTTGGGTGAGTGGGCCGGGCTGGGTTTGGGCTGGGTGGAGGCTGGAGGTGGGCTGATAGGTGGATAAGGGGGTAATGGGAGACAGACTGGGTTTGGAATGGAGCCCAAAGAGGAGGGAGGGTCGGTCGGAGGAGGGACCTCTAAAATGGGAAATTTTGTCTCATCAAACAAAACATGACGGCTTATGTAGATTCGACCGGTATCAACGTGTAAGCAACGGTAACCTTTGTGAAGCTTGCTATACCCTAGGAAAACACAAGGAAGAGAACGAGGTTCGAGCTTTGAAGAAGTGTAGGGACGAAACCAGGGAAAGCATAAACATCCAAAAACACGAAGACTGGTGATGTCAGGATGCCGCTGAAAGAGAACATGAAAGGGAGTATCATTTTGGAGGAGCAAAGTTGGAGTGCGATTGATAAGATAACACGCAGTGTCAAAGGCAAGAGGCCAATATTTCTGGGGAACATTAGAGTGATGAAGAAGAGGGAGGCCATTATTGACAATATGCCTGTGTTTCCGTTCAGCACACCCGTTTTGTTCTGGAGTATATGGACAGGAGGAGCGGTGAGCGATACCATGAGTGCGTAAGTAGGAGGATAAAGCTTGATATTCTCCACCCCAATCAGATTGGAAGGTTTTGATAGGAGTGCAAAAAAAAATTTCGACCAATTGACGAAATTGAATGAAAACACTAAGCAACTGCGATTTATAGCGTATAAAATAAATCCAGGAAAATTTGCTATAGTGATCATAAAAAAGAATGTAATAAGATTGGTCGTCATAAGATAGAATAGGGGCAGGTCCCCCAAACATCACTACAAACTAGTTCGAGTGGAGCAGAGGCTTGAAACGTAGAAGAAACAAAGGGAAGCTTGTGGATCTTACTAACAGCACAACCATGACACAAGGAAGAGGAAGAGGAAAGAAATTTTTTTTTTTTTTATTAAGAGCCTGCTTGACAACACGTTCATTGGCGTGCCCAAGGTGTTGATGCCAAACATCGAATGTAGCGGTGCAAGCAAGAGGGGAAAGGCGAAGAAAAATCTGAAGAGGAAGGGAATAGAGGCCATCCACCGCATAGCCACGATAAAGCTCATTCGTTGTGCGTCGATCCGTTATGACAAAGAGAGAGTCAAAAAATTCGATAGAGATAGGATTAGCACGAGTGAGAGCACTAATAGATAATAAGTTGAATGGAGCATTTTGAACATGAA